ATCACTGAAGATGAGTACCTGGAGAATGCCTTGAAGCTGATTCCAGGTATCAGAGGATGGCCTGGGCAGTGGATGGTCCAATAGAGTGTGGGAGGTACCAAGCACTGTCCATCATCTCTGGGGTTGCATTGTATTTGAGAGTAGATTGAAGCCTGTAGAAATAGTGATGGGAAGATGGGTTGAAAAGCTCTAAGGAATGGAGTTCATACAAGGAAAGCAGAGGCTAAGGGAGAGTATAACTATTCAAAATCAATTTGTTGTTCACATAATTTGGCATCCAGTTTTGACTTAGAAAACAGTGGATACCAAAACATTCTAAAGACTAGACAGTCGTGTTCCCTATTTTGACTTCTGCTTTGTTGTGTTGTGGAAAACAACTGACCAGATACTTGTTAGGCATGAAATTGCAATGAAAAGTCTATATAATAAAAAAAATCTTGTCTACAAATAGATATTATTCTTTAGAAATAGGGATATAACTTTTTATCGACTGTATAGACACACCATGTACAAAGATGGCTTTATGTTTTAAATGAACCTGAAGAAGTATATGTCTTTTCAACCTATGCTTTTGCAACATTTCTAATAATTATGAGAACATTTACTTATTTCCTATATCATAGCTTTCTAAGACTTTCCCTATATTTACCCATGCTATAATTTCTAAATTATAAATAATTTCATTTACTTATGTGGGTTACATTCATGTGGGGGTGTATCTGATGAAATTTTGAGAGAAATATCAGTTGCAATTTATTCATTCTTGTCTTCATGTTTCTATTTATGCTTTCTCAAAACACTTCATGAGAAATTGGCTAGGCAGAAATACAACACTGTCAAATCAAATATAGCTCTTTACTTGAAAGAATATAGAGATTAGTGGTGACATCTTAAAATTACATTTTAGTTTTATTTACCCTTTTGAGGTTTTTGCTAAAAAAAAAAAGCTAATGCTTACACAAGATTTTTAGCATTAAAGCAGTGCTCCTTAAATAATCAGGGTGTCATTCCTAATATTGCTGCATTGTCCCTTGTTTATGGATCTTCCTTTTGTCCTACAACTCAATTCCTACATAGGATCAAGTAGACCAAAATTTTACATTTGAACTTTTCTGTTAGTCAATCATTCAGTAAACGATATAGACAATAGACTACCATGTTTATGCCCGAAGATAACAGCAATAGGTTTCTTATTACCATTTTATATCATTCTTGAAATTTCTACCCAGATTTGTATCATTGGTAAGTTCGATGTTTTAAGAAGCATTGGATCTTTACACTATAGGAATTATAAATAAAGCTTCTAATTATAAATGACAACGATGCCAAAACCCCTACCATAAAAGTCTTTACATTCCTTGCCCTAACTGTTCCTACTATAATCTCTGGATTTTCTTTTTTTCTTTAGGCAGAAATCCTAAAATCCAAATGTCCAATCTTCCCAGAGAGTGCATCCGGCATTTCTTCCCAAAACGGAAGTGCTTTGTGTTTGACCGCCCAACAAAAGACAAAGAACTCCTGGCCAATATTGAGAATGTGACAGAAACACAACTAGATCCTGAATTCCAGGAACAAACAAAAAAATTCTGTTCTTATATCTTCATCCAGGCGAGGACTAAGACCCTCAGAGAGGGAATCAAGGTCAATGGGAAACGTGAGTCTCCTTTTCACATGTCTGTGAGGCCTAATACATGTTGAATATAGTACGTGATGTGTTTTCCAGGATTTCTGTTGATTCTATACAGAATTATGGGTCTATGGATATTCATCATTCATGAAGAAAAGTGTATATTTATTACACTTTGGGGGGTTTATAAACCCTCGTCAAAATTTCAGTCTTTATAAGTAACGCCTGAAACTTCCATATATGTGAAAAAGTCCTTTACTGATAATACTTCACTACTGGGTATAATAACAGAATATAATATTTTCTCAAGGGAAATCCTTTATAATGAATGTGATTTGCAAGGAGAATACAAAAGCTATTTTGAGAATTTAAAGCTGTCTAATAATAAATATTAGCCCATAAATCCCTGAAAATTCATTGGAAGCCTCAGAAGTAGGAATGAATATACCTCATTTACCATGCCTCATGTAAAGAATTTTTCTTCTAATATCTTTAATGTAACATTATGTTTTCTAGATACCATTTATTGCATTAGACGAAGGTAGGTATTTACTTTCTTTAAACTTGTGGCCTAAAGAAGCATAAAATTGAGGAGTCACTAGGAAAATGAAGGTGATGATAGTTGAAGGAGTAGGGTGTGTGTGAGAAAGACAGAGAGAGATAGAGAGAAAGAGAGATAGAGAGAGAGGGAGAGAGAGAGATTTAGAAATGTAGTCTTAGAGTATTGGATCCTATTGAGTGATAACTTGATATTTATCCTCCAAATTTCCTGGCTTATTCAGGGCTGGGGACTCTGGTGGTGACCTATGTGGAGTCTATCAACAGTGGAGCAGTGCCTTGTTTGGAAAATGCAATGAGAACCCTGGCCCAGCTTGAGAACTCAGCGGCTGTGCAGAAGGCAGCCGACCACTACAGTGAGCAGATGGCCCATCGAGTGAGGCTGCCCACAGACACGCTCCAGGAGCTGCTGGACCTGCACGTAGCCAGTGAGAGGGAAGCCATTGAAATCTTCATGGAGAACTCCTTCAAGGATGAAAACCAGGAGTTCCAGAAGAACCTTGTGGTATTTTGTCTTAGCACTTAATTACCCTCTGTTAACCTTCACCTTGAAGAATTAAAGCTTAGCAGTGCTTTCATTGGCCCTATGGCTCCTCTTTCACTCATGGATCAAGTAGCCTGGATCTCATGGGGATAGAGTTAGTTTCAAAGGCCTATGTCCTCCCACCCACCTCCACCACACACAAACTCAGGTTCTTTATCCAGAAATCTCTCTGATCTCTGATACATAACCAGTAGAGAGATCCTCTTGAAATGAATACTTCTATTGATTTTAAGCCTACCCAGAACACCCAAAAGTCAGTCCTGAGCTGGTTAATTGTTTGGGAACACTTTCCCATTCCCAGGAACCAAGTTTTTTATCAGACCCTAACTCCAGGCCCTTTTCAACTTGTATTGCTTATTGTTCTATCATTGTATCATTGAAGATAGAATCACTGAATGCTACAAGCTACAACATACTGTATAGATTAGGTAATGCACAGGTTTTTCAGATAAATAAATTGAGACCCAGGGACATGTGGTATATTAACACAATGGAATACTATTCTGCCATAAGAAAAGATGAAATAATGCCATTTGTGACAACATGGATGGATCTGGAGATTATTATGCTAAGTGAAATAAATCACACAGAAAAAGCCGAAAACCATATGACATCACTGATATGTGGTGTATAAAACTGAAAACAACAAAGGAAAAGACAAACAAATGAAGAAACAAAAACTCATACACACAGAGAACAGTTTAGTGATTACCAGAGTGTAAGAGTAGAGGGGGCGGTGCTAGATGAGGGTAAACGGATCAAATATATGGTGATGAAAGGAGAACTGACTCTAAGTGGTGAACACACAATGTGATATATAGATGATGTATTACAGAATTGTACACCTGAAACCTATGTAACTCTACTAACAATGGTCACCCCAATAAACTTTAATCAAAACCAAGAAACTTCCATAGTCCTGTAAAGAGTTTTTATGTTGCAGAGTAAATCAAACCTGGTGATTCCTGCTTTATTCCATGTCTTTCTCCAACAGAATGCTTTTCTCATGAGGACCACAGTTAGACTTCTTTCTATCAGATTCTTCAGAATTTTATCTTCCCTGTTCCTTTCTTCTGGTGACATTCTTCTACTTTTCTTTGTAGGAAATCCTGAAGAATAAGAAAGAGAGTTTCTTGCTGCAGAACCAAGAGGCATCTGCTAAATACTGCCAGGCTAAACTTGATCAGCTTTCAATGCCCCTAATGGAAAGTATTTCAGCAGGAACATTCTCTGTTTCTGGCGGTCACAAGCTTTACTTGGAAACAAAGGAAAAGATTGAACAAGACTATTGGCAAGTACCCAGGAAAGGAGTGAAGGTGAGGAAAAACGGGGAGCATGGCAATCTACAGATTAAAATCAAGGGGAGCGGTCTCCTGAAAATCTGAGAGGACAGCACCAATTGTGTGTCATAAGAGAGCATGGGGATATCATGACAGATTTAGCTTTGACACTCCACTATTTGCTTTTTCTTCGTAAGTAAAATAGAAATGTTCAAAAATGACCACGCCTTTCTGAAATGCACAAGAGACAGTAGAGAAGGTATTAATTTTGTCATTCAACAACATGACATTCAACGTGCCAAGAGTTGACAATTTACAAATTAAAGTCAGTCTTCGCACTCAAGGCTGATCAAATGAGAAAGGAAGTCCACTATGCAGATAACACATACAGAGTTATAACAATTATGAACTTGAGAAATGCACTAAAAACATGGTGATAACACACAATAATAATAAAAACAATAGTGATAATAATGCAACTAATATATATCGAACCATTGTTGTTATAGGCATAATGTTCAGTTCTTTTCTTAGACAATTGAATTTAATCCTTCAAATAGCATTAAGATAAATCTACACTTATTGTCAACATTTTCCACATCTTAACTGACAGGCAGAGATGGGTCAAACAGCTTGTCCGAAGTCATAGCCACCATGTGGCAGAGGAGAACAGCAGCACCAGAGACATCATTTCACATTGGGAAGGCAAATATTTAAAAGCACCCAAGACTGTGGGTGTGTAGAATGGATCATGGTTCTCACTGGCTGGAACCTGGAGTGGGTAGACGAAAGTGGCATTGGAGAGAGACGGGAGGGAGTCAGGAAGCAGGGGACATGGACAGCCTGTGGTGACGCTAAGGAGCTGGCACGCTTTGTTTGGAGCCACTGTAGAGTTTTAAGCATGAAGGAAAAATCACGTGGGCATTCTGGTTTTGGAGCAGGATTCTCCCCAGTAGAAATGGAAGTTCTTTGCTCTTTCTTGTTTCCTCAGGCAAAGGAGGTATTTCAGAGGTTCCTGGACTCGCAGGCAGCCATAGAGAAATCCATCCTGCAATCAGACAAAGCGCTCACTGATGGGGAGAAGGCCATAGCAGGTAAGGGACTGGTCTGGGCTCACAAGGGGCAGGTATGTTTCTGCAGTGCCCTTTGACAGGTGTGAGAGCAAAACCTTCCTGAAACCAGGAACTTCCTCTCCTGTGGAACAGATTCTGCTAAATCTGGAAACCACAGGGGAGTTGTAGTTGTACGTCAGCCAGGCAGGGCCTTTGCCATCACATTCTGCAGTGTGCTCATGATGGTGTGGACACGGGCGGGGGTGGGGGGGAATTCAGAGTTTTCCCACCTGCCCTTCTGGTTTGGTTTGGTCTCCTTCTCCTTCAGGAGGGTAAGTGTCAGTCCTCACTTAATTTTCCTCCCTCTCTAAAACCTTCCTGGGGCAGAGGAGCGGGCCCGGAAGCAGGCAGCTGAGAAGGAACAGGAGCTGCTGAAACAGCAACTGCAGGAGCAGCAGGTGCAGATGGAAGCACAAAACAGGAGTCTCCAGGAAAATATTGATCAACTGAAAGAGAAGCTGGAGAGGGAAAGAGAAAACATAATAAGAGAGCAGAATATGATTTTGGAGCATAAACTGAAGGTAAGTCTGGCTGTGGCCTCAGCTGTGCTCGATGGCCATTGTCCTGGTACCTCAGGTGGGGTGGCGGAAGGTTACAGCAAGACCATGGAAGGAAGCACCATTGCCATTTACTGCTTGTGCTTTATTAAGACGCTGAATCCTTTCTTCCTCCTCCTCCTCCTCCTCTTCCTCCTCCTCCTCCTCCTCTTCCTCCTCCTTCTCCTCCTCCTCCTCCTCTTCCTTGTCCTCCTTTTAAAAGAAGCCTTTGAGTTCTACTCTATATGTAAACCCTGGAGTGATCCAGGCAAGCATGGAATCTCTAAGTGCTTGGAGAAAATTCGTAGGGTTTGAGCTGTTATTTTGGAGGATTTTTAAATGTTCTAATGAGGCCTGATTCAATAGGTATCCCAAACACATGCATTTATTATGACCAGCTTCATTGCTCTACCAAGATCACTGCCATTTATCAGGACCCTACTGCCACCCAAATGCCCTCATGTAGACCTATGCTGACATGAATTATGCATTATGTCTAGACTTAAAAACAAAAAGAAATGACAGCTTCTAACCTCGCTGCATTGTACCCAGGTATGGGTAGTCTACCAATGTTATCATATGGCAAAGGGAATTCTCCGAATGTCCATCTGGTCATGTTTATAATAGAGTTCTAGAACAATGTATACGTTCCCATTATTTGTATAATTTGGTTGACCGTATTATCCCAAGTGGGACTGAGAAGTAGTACCAGCAGACCAAGGCTACCTCTCAACTGGTATTCAACATATTACTGGTAGGCAACGTAGTACATTTGCCCTCATGTCAGGCTTAGCATTCTAGCAAAACCCTAATGGTGTGTGAATATTAGTAAGGTATAAACACTGCTTTCTTTCAATGTTCAGGCCCAAGACAGGAGACATTCTTTGTTGCAAAACTGTGGAAGAGAGAACAAATTTAGGCATAAAAGAAAGATAGTTTGACCAAATTCTTAAATAGAAAATGTAATTTTTGAAAAAATGGGATTTAAAAAATTTTACTTCCCTCCTCACTTTTTTTTTAGGTCCAGGAAGAACTGCTTAGAGATGGATTTAAAAAGAAATCTGAAGAAATGAATGCAGAGATAAATCATTTGAAAAATATTATTGATAGTACTAAAAATGATGATACTTCCTGGTTAGCAGAAACCTTAGGCAAAATTGGCAGTGAGATCACTTCAATATTGTGTACTAAACTTCTTGATAATGTTGTGAGAGGCGTGAGCTTACTATTCAAAAAGAAATAGCTCTTCTTTTAAAGAATTTATACAATGTGCATATATGGTTTGACCTGTTTTGGATGTGTATTCTTTTTTATTTCATTCAGCCACGTTTTAAATATAAAAAATGCCTACTAGAGGATATCAATGCCTGGTTCACATTAGATAAAATAAATGCACATACAAAATGATATAGCACACCCAGTTTTCAGAAATATACATGGTTAAAATAATAAAAAATGAATTGAGACATTGCTCTAAGTAATGAAAGATTGGAAACTACTTAAATATTCATCTGTATAAACTGGTAATATAAATTTAAGGTGTGCATATACTAGAATATTATGTAGCCAGTAAATAAACTGAGAGTGCAGCTCTATTTTTATAAATATAAAAAATCTTGAAAATACATTGCAAAGTGAAAAAATGAGGCACACAAGCTGTGTATAATATGTTCACTGTAAAAAAAATGTAATTATTGTGTGCAGTCATACATATGGACACATACAGTATCTCTGGAAAACCCCATTAGAATACAGAAACATTGGTCCATTCTTGGGAGAAGGGGGTGGGATCAGAGGTGAATGAGGCACATGCTTTTTATTATATACTCATTTTGAATCCTGTAAAGAAATGTTGTATTACACTTTATAAAGAAAATGTAAACTGTAATACTAGTAATGATAATAATAATAAAAAGAATGTAAAATTGGCTATTAAATGATAGACTTGCTCATCGCTTCTAGAAATGGCATCAGCCTGAACAATGAGGGGGTCTAAGACTGAGATTAGAATACTAGAAAGCATCAACTTTGCATCCTAATCTTGTTTTCCCTTTGGCCTCGCTTCTTAATCCCTTATATTTGCTTCAAAGCCAAGATAAAAACATTCATATTGCCCTTTTAAATTTCAGCTAACAGCCTCTTCTTCCTATCTTTGAACTACACTTTTAAGGTGTTACAATTAAATTACCAAATGTAAGAATATGCACTGGTGAGAGAGATTTGATCATCCTTAAAGGTGCAGTGGTGGTCTCTGCTCAAGGCAAGAGCAGAGGGGACATGTGCCATTGTAGAACTGGGCGTCCCTGATAGTGTTGTTTATGATAAACCCCGACGCATTGAAGCCAGTTGTTGGCACTTAAATATCAGAAGCCAAGTACATTCAATGAGAGTAATGAGCATCATGGTTTGTTCTAGTCAGCTCACTGCTATCACAAATTACCATATATTGGATAGCTTATAAAACAAACATTTATGTCTCCCAGTTCTGGTGGCCGTTAGTCTGAGGTCAGTGCCAGCATTGGTGGGCTCTAGGTAGGGCCTTCTTTCTGCTTTACAGAGGCTGCTTTCCCTGTGTCCTCACATGGTGGAGAGGGTAGAGGGAGCTCTCATGACTCTCTGTTGAAGGGCACTAATTGGATTCATGAGGGCCCCATCCTCATTACCTAATTACGTTGCAAAGCCCCAATTCTAAATACCGTCACACTGGGACATCGTGGGTCAGGGTTTCATCAGGTTAATTTTGGGGAAACACAAACATTCAAATTATAACATGGTTGGAGTGACAGCCAGCTGGACATGATCAAAAAGAATTTTGAAGATGGTGAAATACAGCAAAAAATCTGTAAGGTCAAAAGGGATGGGGAGAAAACAATCAAATGGAATCTATGATGTTATCAGAAGGCTGAGAAGAAGCCCCATAAAATGTCACAATCCCTAGCTTTGATCTGAGCCAATTTGAGACCCTGAACCTATGTCCTGGAGGGGAGGACAGGACTCCAAGACAAAGGACATTGCAACTCTGAGACAAGAAATAATGATAATGATTTTCCCAGTCCCCCTCTTAGAGAGCCTCTGCCCATTGACTTGTTACCTGTGTCCTGGGGAAATGGGAATGCCCAAACAATTTGAGGGCTTTTGGAATAAGAATTGAAGTTGGCAGTGAAACCAGACACAGGAAAGACATCACAGTCTCCACGTTACAGTAGGCTACACGAGATCCAGGTAATAAATGCAGTCCTCACCCAGGTGCAAATAATTGGAATCTAGCATTTGTTTTTAAATATAAGTAAAGTTCATCTGAGGACAGGAACCATTACATATTTTTCTGTACATCTTCTTGGAGTAGGGTTAGGCACCAAATGTACAAATAAGCATCTGCTGGAAAAACAAAAGGTTGAAACATGCATGATGTCAGTTTCTGGTAGACATCACATTTTGGGCCACGCTTATTCTATTCACTCAGCACATCTCTATCTTTAATTGGTGGGCTTAGAAAATTTATATTTAATGCAATTATTGATATAGTAGGGCTTAAGTCTGTCATTTATTGTTTTCTGTTTATATCTTTTTTCTCGATTTCCTATGTCACTGAATTACTTGAACTTTCTTTTCCTCTATTTCTATTTTTAAAATTTCAAACTTTTCATTATTCTCTCCTGCCTTCCTGATATTCCCTGATTCCTTCATCTATCATCTCTTCTGATAACTTTGTTTAGCCTTTCTTTTAGCATAGGTCTGCTAGCAACAAATTCTCTTAGCTCTCCTTTATATTAAAATGTCTTGGTTTCCCCTTCATTCCCAAATGTATCCTTTCATTGACATAGAATTCTGGGTTGAAAGTTCTTTTCTTTCAGCACATGAATAATATTGTGTCACATCTTTCTTAACTTCATTGTTTGCAGTGGGAATTTTTTTGCTCTTTCTCCAAGCAGTATTTTGCTAACTCACATCCCCTCCCTTCTGTTTTTATTTTTTTGCTAAATTGTGAAATATGCCACAGATGATAGCATAAATTATAAAATGTACAACATACACTATAATTGATAATTATAAAATGAACACCTAACTCACTGTCCAGGTACAGAACAGAACTTGTCAGTAACCTAAAGGTGCTTATTACAGCCCTGACAAAACCCTTTAGAACCAATGATTATAACAACTTAGACAAATCTTTTTTAGGATTTTATCAATTGTAAGGGCATCCATCAATAATATAATTTAGTTTGGCCCTTTTTCAAACTTTATCTAAATGGAATTATGTTTTATGTATTTTTTGTGTGTCTTGCTTCTTTTGTTTTTAGATATTGGTAAGATTCATCCATTTTGTTTACAGTAGTAACCTTTTATGTTCTATTGTATGAAGATATAACACCATTCTACTGTGGGGGCATGTCTGGGTTTTCAGTTTTTATCTATTATGAAAAATGTTATCAAAACTTTTTTGGATATGCACTGGGGGTGCCCAAAAAATGTATACACATTTTAAGAGACATTATCTATGCTCGAGCAGTAGCTTGCCGTAATCAGAATTATCTGGATGCTGATGGTAACCACTTTGAGCACCTCTAGTAATTGCAGAAGTGAAATGTGACTTGTATCCATCTTTTGTTATTGGCATATATTGAGTATTACAATTAATACAGTTTTTTCCTTTCTTAAAATGTGTGTACCTTGTTTTGGCACCCTCTGTATATGCTAGTGAGCATGTACATCAGAATCCCTTGTGGAATGTACTAAGAGTGGCATTCCTGAGTCATAGGGTATGTACATTGTCAGTCTTTCTAGATAAGGTTAAACCGCATTTCAAAGTCACTGTAACAGTTTACACTTTAATCAGCAGATTGATTGTTCTTGACATCAGAATTTTAAATTTTAAAATCTGCTAGCTGTTGGTGCTATTTCATTGGGACATTAATTTGCATTTTCTTCCCTGAAAATGTGACTTGGCACCTTTTTATGTGTTTGCTCTTTTGTTTTTCTGTGACATCTCTGTAAATATATTTTTTGTATTGAGTTGTCTCTTTTATTCATCTTGATTTGTCAGAATTTTCTTATATGTATTTTGGATACGAGATTTTTGTTGGTTAGATAATTTGTAAATGTATGTATTCTGTGACTGCCGTTTAACATTTTTAATGGTGTTTTGGGCAAAAGATGTATTTAGTTTGGAATTAATCAAACTTAACAAATTTTACTTTGTGGAGATGGTGGTGGTGTTTGTGATTGTGTGTGTGTGTGTGTGTGTGTATGTGTGTTCTGTAAGGATTAATTTTCTCATTGAAGTCATGCCATTATTCCTATATACTAGGTAGTTTTTTGCCCCATCCTTATGATAAAATTATTTTGGAAAAATTGGTATCCACCTCCAAAAATATACTTTGCACTTGTATTTCACATCACATGAAAAACCTATTCTCAGTCAATTATAGGTCTAAAAGTTAAAGGTGAAATGATAAATATTATAGAAAATAACATTGCTAAATAATACAATGACCTTCGGCGAGAGAAAAGTTCTTACAGAACAAGTACATCAATACCACCATCACCACCACCACATTACTTTACAAATCACGACAGTTTTATTTCATTCTTTCCAATTTTTATACTTTTCCCCTCATTTGAATTTCAAACTGCAATGGACAGACCATTCTAGAATATGAAGAAAAGCAGTAATAAAAGTGGCATTTCTGTCTTCTTCCTACTTACAAAAGAATGACTTAACCTCTAAATAAGTTTGCATACAGTTTTAATTCAGATCCTTTATTATATTCAGGAAGCTTCCTTTATTCCTTGTTTGATGCACTTTTATAGACTAATAATTGGATGTTAAGATTTGTCACACTTTTATTTTGTATCCTTTAAGATGATCACATAATTTACTTCCCTTTACTCAGATTATTTATGTGAGTCATTATTTAAAAGTTCAATCAAAATAGCCTCCCGAGATCAAACCAAACTAGGTCATGATGTTTTATCCTTTCTTTATACTACTGAAATTTTTTGTTAATACTTGGTTTAGAATTTTTGCCTCTATAGTTATAAATGATATAAGCTTTTTTATTTTTTGTATAGCATTTGGTCATATTTTAGTATTAAGGATCTCCAATTCCCAAGTAATGAGCTGGATAATGTATCCTTTTGTTTTGTTTTTTGGTGCTCTGGAAGTATTTGTATAAAACGAAGTAATTTTAATGTCAATATTTGTAGAAATCACAATAGAAATATCTAGGTTTTATGATTTCTTTATAGAAAGACTTCTCACTTGTTCCATTTTGATAATAGTTATTAGAAGTTTCCAGATGTTTATTTTTCCTTGTGTCAGTTGTGGCAATTTACATTTCTCAGAATTTGTTTATTTTACTCAACTTTTAAATTAGTTACATAAAATTGTTTATACCTTCTTATATTTTTTCTATTTGCTGTGTGTGCAATAAAAAGTCTCCGTTTCAGTTTCTG